TCCCCCCTCCCCCTCTCCTCATTTTCCTTTTTAAAATCAGTCTTGCCCTTGATATGTGGGAAGATTTATCTTAACCCTCCCTTTCCTGCCTGGAAGCTCCCTCCGGGCCTTTCCTGTTGGCTAGCTGTCAGCAGGTGGGCACAGCCTCCTACCTCACACCTACCCCTCCTGGAAGCTGCCTTTAGGCTTCAACCCACTTCACTGGTCACCCTCCTGGGATATTCTCACAGTCAAATCATTCTCCTGCTAGGTACTATCTTTGTCTTCAATGCCCCTGGAAATTCCTATTAAAAGCCTTTAAATCAGGGCTCTTCTCTTCTGGGATTTTTGTGGGACTTCAAATTCTACCTACCAGGACCCTGGAGACCACCAAACCTCCCCTGTGTAAGAAGTCTGCTAGGCAGCTACCCTCTCAGAGTTCTCCTTTGGGCATACCCCTCAGCCCTCCAGTTCTTTATCAGCTCTGAAGTGTCACACCAAAAATACCTCCTCTATGCCCTCCCCTCCATCTTCGTTCCCAGTCACTGGGGAGTCTTCACTGTCATTTAAATTAGGCTCCTTCACAGTTTGTTGTTCTTCTCCAGGCCCTTGCCTCACTGGGGTTCTCTGCATGCTCCAAATCCCTCTCCAAACATTAAGGATTCCCTGGACCTAGAGAAGCCTTGTAGTCACGGCCCAGGTGCTCAAGGGAGCTTGGCACACCCTCTTGTCTCTGCTCTCCTGGGTGAATGGCAGGTCCTAGCTGGAGCTCAGAGCCTGCTGTGACATGTGGTTCCAGTCCCCTATGGCTTGGATATAAGGCCAGCCCTCTCCTGAATCACAGACCCTGGAGTGAACAGTGTGATTCTACTGCACTGGCTACTGTCTCTTCTACTAGACGTGGGATTACAGGGCTTTCCAAAATAAGTGTTGGGGGAGGGAGCACAGTACAATTACCTGTATACAACCACTCGCTAAATGACTGAGCTGTAATGATTTGATTTCTGGAGTAATTCTAAGCCTCTGTCTACCTCTGCTTCCTCTGGGAAGATACACTCAGCTCACTTTTGAGGGCTCCGTTAGTGGTAAACAGAACAATGCAGATAGAGTTCTGTCTTCAGAAAGTGTGCAGGACTGGCAGGTCTGTGTCATCTTGTAGGCGGGTTTTAATGAGGTGGCTGCTGCTCCTCCTGGACACAATGGCACCTGCATTCCACCGTCCCCGAGTTCAGGAAGATGAGAGCGCCATCTGAGCGGAGTCGTCTGTGCAAAGATTCTTTTATCTCAGATTTGGCCCAGGTTGAACAGAGGAAGGAGAAATAGCATGGAACCCCACCCCCCTCCCCCAAAGGGTTAATGGAATGAGCAGGAGAATAGGCCAAGACTAAAAAGAAATAACTCACATTGGTCACCTGGAAACAGCTGTTAGGCCAGAGGATAAGGCAGAACCTGGTGGCCTCTAAGGAGACACTGCCTGAAGGAGCAAAAGGCTGCAGTAGAAGACCATGGAAGAAATAGCATGACAGAGATCCAGAGGGAACTGAGACTGCCAGAAACTCAAAGGCACAGCAAAGAAATAAAATCTGCATGGGAGGCCGTAAAACCCAGGAGTGGCATAGAGACAAATTGACAGGGTGGTGTGGTACAAATACTTCACACACCATTCAATGCCGTGCAGAAGGACATGAGATGAAACAGCCCAGGGGAGCAGGAGAAACGGAAAATAGTGGGGGCTGTCATTCCCAGGCAGATGACTATGGATGTAGAAAGTGAAGGTATGGAGGCTGGGGAATCAAGCTACCTGTCCTAGAAAGTACTAAGTCATTGGCCACAGAGTCCCCTGTTTAGCCTTGGACTCAAAGAGCAGAGGGTTTTAGGGAGAAAGAAATGTTGGCTGGTTTATATGTTGTCTGTGTGCCAACTCCTGTCCCTAAGCCACCAGAACATTGGCTCATGGCTCTTGAGGACAGTTAGGATAGGAATGGACCTGAAAATGCCTTCTTGGGCTGCCCCTCACTCACTTCTGCAGTCTTCCTCCTGCTTGCACCACAGACTCTTCCCAGTCACAGTGACCCGTGACAGGGCAGTCCTGCTGGCTCATTTCAAAAGTCGTTTATTCTTTTCTGCAAAACCACAGCCACAGAATCCAATGACCCTTTAAATAAAAAGCTCAATGTTAGGCAGCCTAAAGAGTCCTGCCATAGGAAAAGCACTCACCAAAGCCACTGCTTTCTTTTATCATTTGGCGACAGACTTATTTTCATTGAAGCCATCTCTGCACTAAGTTAGGATTAGGGGATGTTGTGTCTGCTTGGTCAGCTTGGGGAAACAGGAAGTAGAGAAGGGCTAGGTTGCTATACTGGGACCTGAACCGTGATTGTGGCTCATGTACTGCATTCATGTGTTCTGCAACACGGATATGCATTATTCCCAACATCAGAAAAGGAGTGCATTTACTCATTCATTCACCCACTTATTAATAATTAATTAATTTCCTTCAAGAAAAAAGACTCTGGAGTGTGAGGTCAGGACCCAGAATGGCTCCTCTTTTCCATGCCAGCTCTGAAGGACAGGGAGCTTTGTTGTCTGAGAAGGGGTAAGACCAGGGAAACTGCCCCTCTGGGAATTGCCATGGGCATACATTTATGGTTCCTGGGCCTTTTCCTTTGTTTGTTCTTGGTGGGAAGGTTGTCGGTGCAGAGGCCTAGGCTTGAAGCCTCTCTTTTTCTGGGATGGTTGAGGCTTCCCTAGGACAGCCAACCTGAGAGAGGAGCGGTAAAGTAGTGCCAAGGCCACGCCTCTCCCAAGGAAGCGCAGGTTATTAACTGGGAATTCTTTACAGCTGGCCCAGAGGAAGCTTTTGGCTGTAAACTGTCATGCACCGCAGCATTCCTTGAAAAGGCTGCGAACAAGTTTCTGAGGACAAAGATCAGAAGTCAATCACAGAAGACGGCAGGGACAAAATAGCTAACTAATGCCTGAAAGTTGCTTCTAGCCCTACATCCGGGATGCGGCTTCACTGACGCATTGTGGAGTGCAGAGATTTCACTGCTCAGGGTAGAAAAGAAACATTATTTATTTGCCCAAGCCTGTTTGGAGAACAGTTCCAGAGCGATCTTCCATGAACCTCCTGGACGATGGAGAAAATCCATCTTTCTGAAGAGCAATCATATTTCCAGGGCCGGCTCCGCCTTCACGCCAGAGGTTAGACACCGTCAGTCACTTTTTCGAACCCACGCTCGCCGGGCCTCCACGTCCCGCCCACCTAGACCCTTTATTCCAAGTGCTAGGCAGTCTCAGGCCTGAGCGTCTCCTAGGGAGAAATGGTGGTATCTCCCCCGCATACTCCTGCAAACCCACAATACCACAAACTGGCTGGTGGGCGTTGCAGGAGGCTCAGGGTTGGGCGCAAATGAGGGCCTTTTGGCGTCCCTGCAGAAGGAAGCGTCCCCCACGAGTCAGCCCCAGATTTCTTTATACCTTAGACTACGGAAGGGCAAACGAGCAGCCCAGTAGCCAATTGGAAAAGGGTGGAGGAAAGTAGTCCAAGACACGTTCCCACCCGACTCCGGGAGTACCCCCGCCGCGCGCTATCGGCTCCGGAAAAACCCTTTCTCCCAGAAGTAGGGACAGGTAGAACCGGGACCCAGGGCCTGGCTTGCTCCATGGACAACTCCGACCCCAAAGATTTTCTATGGAGACTCTCAGGACTGAGGGTCCCACCTGCTGCGAGAACCTCTTCCAAGGAGCTTCGGGATGGGATGCGCGGGTGGAAGACCGGGAGGTGGAGGCTGGGACCCAGGCCCTCGTTAAAGAGCTGGGCGCGAGCTCCGGCTTCCTTTCCGCATCCTGGGCTCCCGTTTTAGAGGAATGTTATTGTTTAAAGAGACCCCATTGAACTATTTCCTGCTCTTTGTCACCTTCCCCTCGCTCTCCGGCAGAGGTTCTCACCGAGAGGTAATAAACCAACTGCTGCCCACACCGCTTGGCTAGGCGAGTAGGGAAACGCGCCCAGCGTGCGTTCCAACAATCCCGCGAGCAAAGAGGCCCGGGACTCCCGCGGCCACACTCGGTGCAGACGCAGCCACCGTCACCAAAGTCCAGCTTTTACGTGGGACGCGAGGACACCTCCTACTAGGGTCACTATCTGCTCGTCTATTTCCCTCTCTGGACAAATCCGCTTTGAGCTTCCCTCTCCACGCAGGTGAAGGTCGTGGGGAACCCGGATGACGAGGTGGGCGTTAGTGGCCGTCCACGGGGTGAGGGGACGTGTTCCGAGAGTCTGCGCCTCAGGAGGCTGAGGCTTCAGAGAGGTCAGGGACACCGGGGAGACGCAGATCCGCCGTAGTCCCGCGCAGGTGCGCGCGACGTGGACCCTCCGAGAAGCAGAGCCGCAGGGGCGCCGAGGGGCGCCTGGAGAGCGCGTGGGAGTGGAGGGCATAGCAGTTCGCTCTGGGAGCCGCGGGCCCGCGTAGCTCCGGCCTTGCTCCCCCCGCCCTACACCAAGGGTCCGCCTCGTCGCTTTGATGGAGGTGCAAACATTTGGGGGAGGGCGGGGGTGTCGGGACTGCGCCCGAAGCTTTCCTTACAGGAAGCGCGCTCGGGAGTCCATTGTTGGCCCCCAGCCTCGGGGCCCGCCCGGCCGGTCTGATATGGCCGCTCACCGCCAATGGGCAGCGCCTCCGTACTTCAAAGGGTGTCCCGCCCAATCCGCCGCGCCCCCTGCGAGGCCACCTCGGCTGTATTTATGGGGAGGGGACCCATTTTCTCTCCCCCAGAGACTTACTCTTGTCGCGCCTTGCGGGAGTTCAAGTGGAACCACGGCTCCCCGGCCCCTCTCCCCCATCCCTGGCCCCTTCCCCCCATATCCCGGTCCTGGTCCCCCTTTGGCCAATGTACTGGGACCCAGGTGTGGTCTTTGGGCTCCGCCGAGTGACCTTTTTTTCTTGGAAAAACGGTGGCCAGGGAAGTGAAGGTGGCTGTTGTCAGGACTCGGGGGCGGTGGAGAGGGTGGCAGGAGGATGAGCTCCCCGGGCACAGAGAGCGCAGGGAAGAGCCTGCAGTACCGGGTGGATCACCTGCTCAGCGCCGTGGAGAGCGAGCTGCAGGCGGGCAGCGAGAAGGGCGACCCCACGGAGCGGGAACTGCGAGTGGGCCTGGAGGAGAGCGATCTGTGGCTGCGCTTCAAGGAGCTAACGAACGAGATGATTGTGACCAAGAACGGCAGGTACGTACGTGCTGCGAGTCTGCTGCCTGGGGCCTGGGGTGGGTGGAGCACCTTTTCTTCCCAACGAGCCCATTTTCTGTTCCTTCCCGCTCTGCTGTTTACAGCCGCTACAGAATTCCTAACCCGAGTTTCTCGGGAACTTTGCCCTATGAAACCTGGGTAGGAGGTATTAGAACTCTGGGGTGGCCAGGTTTGTCCTTCTGCTGTCTCAAAAGATCGTGGGTTTAGTGGGGGAGACGAGTTGGTTCCAGGACCGAGAAAGCTTTGGTTGCAGGGGCTCCTCTTTGCCTAGTAATAGACACTTTGTGCCGGGCTTCCTTTCTCCAAGGGATGGGTCCTCCTGCCGCGCCCTGTCTTTTCCAGGAGGATGTTCCCGGTGCTGAAGGTGAATGTGTCCGGTTTGGACCCCAATGCGATGTACTCCTTCCTGCTGGACTTCGTGGCTGCTGACAACCACCGCTGGAAGTATGTGAATGGGGAGTGGGTCCCTGGGGGCAAGCCAGAGCCTCAGGCGCCCAGCTGCGTCTACATCCATCCAGACTCGCCCAACTTCGGGGCCCACTGGATGAAGGCACCGGTGTCTTTCAGCAAAGTCAAACTCACTAACAAGCTCAATGGAGGAGGGCAGGTAAGGGCAAGCAGGAGACAGCCCATGGGTCCCCCAGCCCAGAGGCAGAGGGGGTTCCTCTCCCATCCAGCCTGGAGCCTAGAAAGACTGCATCAGCCTTTGTCAGCCTCACAGAAGCCACCACAGTCTTCCCCAATTAAACCTTTAGTACTGTTTATATTAAGCTGATAAGGGTCACACCAAGGCCTGGAGGAGGGATCTGGGAGTCCTCACCCACTCACCCCGGAAGGATTGGTGCAGGCCTGCCTCTTGGAAAAGCGCTTGGGGAACAGCGCTGGCCCTAGGTGAGCTTTGGTTGTGGATCCGCAGTCACATTAAAGTCAGAAGGGAATACTGTGGGAAGGCTGCACAAACGGGTACATTCCACTCCAAAGTCTCTGATTGGGGCTTGTTCCTAGAAAGCTCGCTCCAAGTTGCTGAGGAGCCAGGCACTTAAAGGTTGTCTGTGGCCGTATTCTGCCAGGGTTTAATGGAGCATAGCACCTCTCAGTTCCAGACAGCTGCTGGAAGCAGATGTGTAAAAAGCTGACAAAGTCTCCTGATGGACCCATGCCCTCCACACTGTAGGCAGTCTTTTGGAGACTTCCTGCAGTTCCGTCCCGTTCTCACCCAGCAGTTCTTGTGGGTGCTGCGGTGTGCGTAGATAGGGCAGCTCTGCAGTCCTTGCCTCTTACCTCCTGCAGATCATGTTGAACTCCTTGCATAAGTACGAGCCTCGGATTCACATCGTGAGAGTTGGGGGCCCGCAACGCATGATCACCAGCCACTGCTTTCCTGAGACCCAGTTCATAGCTGTGACGGCCTACCAGAACGAGGAGGTGAGGCCCCCAGAAGGGAGGGGACCCTCTCAGTGAGCCCTCCATGCATAGGCTTGGGAAGGAGAGGTAAACTCACCCTGATGAATAGGGGCAAGAGTTTCCTTCAGAGTTACCACTTGTGTGGCTAAGAGGGGAGAAGTTCAAAATGCTCCATCTTGCTGTTTGTCTCCAAAGATGACCTAAAATAATAAAGATCTACAACATGCTTGAGAGATGCATGAATTACAACCTCATGCTTTTAAAATCTCCTGGAGAGGGTAGGGGCAGATCTCAGCAGTATGAAGTCCTGGCAAGGGCTGTCAGGAAGCCTTAATTTTAGCCCAATATCACACACACAGGCTGTCCCTGTTGGCTTTAAGAACTGCACAGCAGCCCCCTGCTATGTCAGAACTGTTGTGATTTATAGACACGATGTAGACTAAATTTATTGGGAACTTCAGTCAGAAATTGCTTTTCTTTGTAATTTCTCGTTGGTTTCAGATTCAGATGGAAAAACAAAGACTGATTCAATTTGAATATTTTAACTTGGCTCTCTTCTTTCTCAGTTTTTTTTTCTTTTGGTAGCCCCACTTTCCCTGCCCTGTTTGATACAGGGTCTTGCTATGTAGCTATGGCTATCCTTAAATTCACAGCTGTCCTCCTCACAAGATGCCTCTGCATCTTGATAGGCTGATAGGCCTTTGATACTTCTCAATTTTCCCCATCAAAGTTCCCATCAAACTGTCTGGTAACCAGCACTGTATTAGTAAATATTCTTTCTTATTTTTTTTTTTCAGATCACGGCCCTTAAAATTAAATACAATCCGTTTGCTAAAGCCTTCCTTGATGCAAAAGAAAGGTGAGAGAATTCTATCACCACTCCTGGGGCAAAGGACCATGTAGAAGGAAGGATGCCCAACTGTCTCCAGGCAGTTCTCCTTTTGACCATTCCGAATACTTTTTGGCAGAAACGACCACAAAGATGCAATGGAGGAGCCTGGGGACTGCCAGCAGCCGGGGTATTCCCAATGTACGGTTTGTTGCATCCACATTCTCCATATCCTTCTGGCTTGTTTCAGGACTAGTCTTGCTAAAAACCAGAACCCGTAGGGAAGCTTTGGTTTTTGGGAATGGTGGGGAGTAGCAGGATGGCTCTTCTTTGTGCCCTTTGATTTGGGAGCTGCCTAACCATCTTGGGCTTTGGACACTGGCAGCCCCTACCCCCCAAACTCTCTTGATTTGTTTGTTTTGTTCTGCAGCCAGGGGCAGAGTGGACTCCTGGGAGTTTAGACTTGGGTATGACGAGGGTTCAGTTATCACAACCCCTTGGAGATGGCTTTCTGCTTTTGTTAGCGGCTGAAAACTGGGCACTGTTTTTGGAGATGTACATGAGCAACCTTCATGTTCGGCCCCCTTGGCTCCTCTGGTGGCTTGTAAGGTGGCTAGCTAGTTCTTTTAAAATTCCTTTAGGAGTTCTAGCCAGGGTGAGGGGTGCAGACCTATACAGGTGCATATAGGGAGAGGAAAGGCCTGGCCTCAACCCTCTTCTCAAGGAGGGATCTGCAAATTTGAGGAAGTCACTACTGAGGGATAGAAGGATCTTGTAGGCCAGACCAGCTTAGCTCTCTGCCCTTAAACCACAGTCAGCTATTCTAAACTGGTATTTTAACACCATTTTCTAAACAAATTTGACAAATGAATTTTAACAAATAGGCCTCCTATTGTGGCTCATGGGTAGTCGCTTGAGTGCAGACCATGAAGAAATGGGCAAGAGATGGACTATGTATGGGGTCACTCAGGGCTGTGTGGACACATGTGTGTTCCTCAAGTATTGCCTGAAGAGGTGTCTTGTTTGAAACTAGAAGCACAGTAGTTATTGTCTCATGGAAGGCTCCTTTTGCTTAATTAAAAAAAAAATCTTTCTAAAAAAAATAGGAGGAAAAAATATTAGTTTCTATGGATAGTTCTATCTTGGAGGAGGTGTTGTAGAGAGAATGTGGGGAGGCTTGGGGGTGGGGTCGTCAAAACAGAAGGGTCCAAATAGGAAATGGGTCCACTAGCTATTTCTGAGTCAGGAGCATCTCTGCTGGCCTCAGCAGCTGAGGAGAAGCAGTCCTGAACAGTCTGTATTTCTCTATCTTCATACTTCATCCATTTAACCTCTCATCTGATAGAAAGCCATCTGCCTGCAGAACAGAAGTTCCAGGAAGGCTGGGGGAGGTCTCAAGTCCAATCCTGTAAGACAGGGCGCTGGGCTCAGCTCCAGCCATTCCAGTCCTGGGCATCCCAGGCTTGGAGTGTGGAGCTCCACACTGACTTTTCGAGATTAGGCTGCACAAGAGGGTGGGCACTGTGCATTCTTCAACCCCAGAGTCTCGGAGCTTGGACAGTCCTGAGTCTCACGCAAGGGTCAGTTACCCAGCATGCTTTTCTCACAGCAGGGGGGTGGCTAGTTCCTGGCGCTGGCACCCTCTGTCCACCTGCCAACTCCCATCCTCAGTTTGGAGGCTCTCTCTCTCTCCCCTCCACACACGGCTGTGAGAGGTACCCGGCTCTGAGGAACCACCGCTCATCGCCCTACCCCAGCCCTTATGCTCATCGGAACAATTCTCCAAGTAGGTTCTGTACCTCGGTTCATCGACTGGGGGTGGTGGTGGGAGGACCCCTCTGGAGAGGCATTTTTATAGGGGTGCAAGATAGGGAACTAGCTCCTAGTGGCTCCTGAAGAGACTTGCTGAAGGTGGTGGTTTAGCCAGAGGTCCCTCTCAATATTTGTGTGCCTTAGGACATGCTCCAGGTTTTAAAAGTCACGGCTTTCTGGGCTTTTCTACTGAGCCATAGTTTGATCCCCAGAATGGAGCCCTGGTTTAGATGGTTCAAGAACCTCTCTAAAGTGACCATATTGGATTAGCCAGGTACAAGCATTCCTGACCAGACCGAAGATTCCTCAGGTATAGAACCTGGGCCCTCAGTGTTGGTGTCACCTGAGAACCAGGCCCATCTCAGATCTACCCTGCACCCAGAAGCTGGAGTGTGGCCCTCTAGACAACCGGACTACTTCCCAGATTTCAGCCCCAGGATAGCCAGAGACCTTTGCCAGATCCTCTAAGCTTGTCTGCTCACACCGACCTTTGTCTGCTCCAGAGGGAGGGGAAAATGGCTAAAGAACACCATAAAACAATTAAGCAATTACAGCTGATTCAAAATGAAAGGCAACATCCCTAGAGACCTGTTCAATCAGACTCTAGGCTCTGAGGTGGGGAGATCGTGTATTTTTAATTTGGTGAGGCCATAGTTTCCATAGCCTAAACCCTTATGGAACAGCCTTTATGGAAAAGGTGAATTAAAGTGGCAGGTATTTTGGGTTTTTTTTTAGGTTTACCTTTAATAAATAAAACCACTCAGATCAGCACTTACTTATCTAGCATTTGAGAGGCTCCGAATCTGATCCCCAATGCCACAAAAATAACAAATAGATAAATAGACAGACAGAACAAAAATAAAGAGAAAGATAAGCAATACAGTGTCTGCAGGCCATCTCCTGGTGGGATGATAAGAGATACCTTAGGTTAACTGAAACATAGTTTTGAATAATTAACTCTGACGATAAATATTTCCCTGCTGACTACCTAAGGGGGCTCATGGCTTATTCTCTGCATCTAATAGCCATTGTTTGCTGTGTTGGGTTGGGCCAGTAGTTGGTATTACTTTGTTGCATTTTATTCCTTTCGGAAGACCTGTCAGGTAACTCCCCTCTCCACACCCCTCAGCCTATGCCGACAACTCATCTGCATGCTTGTCCATGCTGCAATCCCACGACAACTGGTCTAGCCTCGGAGTGCCTGCCCACAGCAGCATGCTGCCCATGGGTCATAACACCAGCCCGCCGACTGGCTCCAGGTATGGGTGTCTGGGGAGTGAGGCAAACCGTCCTGTGGCCGGCCTCTGCTGCTTCCAGTTCTGTCGGACTTTCCCTTTCTCGTCTCTCTATTCCGTATCCCACCTGGGGGTGTTTGGGTTTATGTTTATAATTAGACAGCTGGATGAGACCAGGGACACCTGATCCCAAGACTGTGCAGTTTTGATTCCTTCCATTTTCCCATGGTGGTTTGCTGTACTCCACCCGAAATAGGGTTCAGCCTTCCTTGGATCTTAACATGTGCTGTGACGGATGGTCCTTTCATTTCTTTGAGCCTCACTTTTTCCATATGTAAAAGATACTAAGTAGCTCTAGCCTCAGTCTGTGTCTCAGGCAGAAGGGGTTGGCACATGGAGTTTAAAGTAACATTGCAGAACTTTTATTCAGTGTCGGACAGTCCGCATCTTGGCTTTTCTGTGGAAAAAGCAGTAAGAGTCTTCAGTACTACCCTGAGAAACAGGTGGAGAGTGTCTGACTGACTGGCAACTCATATAATGGGAAGGTTTAAGAACACCCAGAAAAGCTGGTGGTGATACGGTAATAGCAAAGAATAATAGAGCTAGATGCCAAGCCTCATTTCCCAGTGAGGAAAGGGACCCAAAGATAGCAATTCTGGGACAGCGTGATGATGACCCGTTAGTTTACAATGGAGCGAGGCTGCCATCACTCTAAGGTTTAAACCAGCCACTGTCCTGCTACCTAACACTACAACCCTGTAATACAGTCCCTCATGTTGTGGTGACCCCAACCATACATTTATTTTGTTGCTACTTCATAACTATAGTTTTGCTACTGTAATGAGTCATAATGTAAATATCGGATATACAGATTCTGATATGTGACTCCCACAGGGGTCATGACCCACAGGTTTAAGAACCTCTGGTCTAGAACATGAAACATTTATATAAGGTCCTAGCTGCTTTAGTTGAGGAGATAGCTCTTTACTGATAAGAATTTAGTTGTCTAGCTGTTTTGTGTGTGTGTGTTTGTGTGTTTTGTTTTTGTTTTGTTTTGTTTTTTGAGATAAGGTTTCTCTGTGTAGCCCAGGCTGATTGTCTTGGAATTCACTCTGTAGGCCAGGCTGGCCTCAAACTCACAGATATCCACCTGCCTCTTCCTCCCCAGGGCTGAGATGAAAGCTGTGCACCATTACTGCCCAGCTATCTAGTGTTTGTTTTGTTTTTTGATGAAGGGACTCCCTGGCTTTGAACTCACTACACAGTCCAGAGCTCATGGTTTTGATTCTCCAGTTCTCACTATCCTGAGTTATTGGGGTTATTGGCAAGTATTACCAAATTCATCTTAATCTGCTCTTAAGGCAAACATACCTCAGATGACAAACTTGTCAGTGGCCCTGGGGACATTGTTTAAGAAGCCAGAGGATCTGCAGGCAGCCAAATGCTGATCACTCGTCCCAATTTGGTGCTCTAGCCTGAAACTCACACCTGTAAAAAACAGCAACCTGTCTTAACTTACCCAGGCTTGCTTTCAAATTCAAATGCCTTTGAGGCAGGCAAAGACGATAGTGTATTAAATAATAGCCTTGTATCAGATCACATTATGTGTCTATAGAAGAACTCGAAAGGAAGGTTTTCCCCAACAAAAATGTTGGCATAGTTTGAAGTTCATTTCTAGGGCTTAGGCCAGAGGGTTTAATGCTCACCTCAGCACCCTCACCATGGAGCCAGCTCTACAGTCCCTTGCATATTGTCCCATTTTGACACTGCTAACTCCTGTCCACTGGATGAGCCCAGGCCAACGGTGATGCCCTCCTGAGGAATGCTGCCCTCCTGAGGAATGCGTTCTTCTGTGAATTCGGGTGTGGCTGCGGTGAGGTTGGGAACACACTGCCTCGAGCCTTGATGCTCAGTGCAAATTCAGTGTGTCAGTGAGCACAGAGCTATACCTGCCCAGAGTTCCTCTTAGCAGGACTCAGCACACTACCGTACGCATGCCTTCGTTTTGGTCTGCTTCCGCTGATTTTGTTTCTTAAGATGCTAGCTTCTGTCTATGAGGTAACAGGGGGAAAATCAGCCTGCAAAGCCATGTGATGCAATTATTGTTCTCAGTCCTTGTCCTTACCCTCCACCCTGATCCCACTCCCCGTACGAGGCCTCTTCCCAAACCTCTGACATCTGTTTTCTTCATTTCAGCCAGTACCCCAGCCTGTGGTCTGTGAGCAATGGCACCATCACCCCAGGCTCCCAGACAGCTGGGGTGTCCAATGGGCTAGGAGCCCAGTTCTTCCGCGGCTCCCCTGCACATTATGCGCCTTTGACGCACACGGTCTCGGCCGCCACGTCCTCTGGCTCCCCAATGTACGAAGGGGCTGCCACGGTCACAGACATTTCTGACAGCCAGTATGACACAGCCCAAAGCCTCCTCATAGCCTCGTGGACACCTGTGTCACCTCCGTCCATGTGAACCGAACTCTCCTCCACGTGCTAAGACTTGTTGTATGAACGAGGGTCGACGGGACCTTCTAGGCACAGCATGGCGGGCTTTTGGGACAAGGGAAAGAAATAAAAGCTTGCTAATAACTCCATTTTCAAGTAAGAGGAATACTACACGTTCTGTGTATCATGTCCCACAAACTCTTGCTTGACCCCTGCAATAGTGACGTAGGTCCTACATGTGAAGCCAGGAATGGAGATGAGGCTATGGTCAAGTGTCCTGACTGGCAGTCAGAGTCCCTTGCTAGCAGCCTTTACCTTGTATTTGTCTTCTTTACAAGGTATAGGTGACTTTGAGATGCTGGAATTTGCCCACCCGTCCCACTTTAGTGAGGCACAAGCATACTGCTAATGCCCTTCCTTGTTGTATTAGAGGTGTTAGCTCTGAGGACAGAGAAAAATCATAGCCAGTGGATTGTCACCAAGCTGGGAACCGCTCTGGCCTCTAGAAGATGTCTACTTTAAGCACACGTAGATTTTTGTGTTGTGATGTCAATGGTGGGATACTTTTCTGTTGACAAAGTAGCCAAAGACAATCTGCAGAAAGCTTTTCTGCACAATAAAGGCAATACGCAGCATGTGGTCCTGGCGGTTGTTATGTATGGTCTCCTTTTAGGAAAGGCTTTCTCCCCAAGATGTATTTTAGTTTACTGTGAACTTTAATGTTGTAGCTAAATCAGTTGCCGAACTAAAGGTATGCATTTTCTAGTGGCTAAAGAAGGTGAAATGATGTAAGTTGGAATCATAGTGGATCACAGATGAATGTGCACAGCAGAACTGAAACGTGCTAATGTCATAAAATGCAGGCTATCCACCTGACACGGAGGGCAGCAGAGGAGTTGGTAAAGTTGATCAATGTAAAGTGTAGTTGCTATAGGAACCCAGCTGCATGGCTTTTGGGATCACTTGTCTCTTCCCCATCAGTGGGGAGATGCTCCAGGCATCTGGAGGTAATTGCTCCATCTAGTGGCAGAATCCATTAGTATGACCCTGGTTTTGGTTTAACTCAAATCTCTGCTTTCTTTTTTTTTTAAGTTAATTATTTTTTAAATTCTTTATTAATACACTTTATTCACTTTGTATCCCCCCTATGGTTCCCTCTCTCCTCCCGTCCCAATCCTTCCCTTCCTCCCCCCTCTGCACGAATGCCCCTCCCCAAGTCTACTGGTAGGGGAGGTCTTCTTTTCCTTCCTTCTGATCCTAGTCAATTAGGTCTCATCAGGAGTGGCTGCATTGTCTTTTTCTGTGGCCTGGTAAGGCTGTTCCCCTCTCAGGGGGAGGTAATCAAAGAGCAGGCCAATCAGTTCATGTCAGAGACAGTCCCTGTTCCTATTACTATGGAACCCACTTGGACCCTGAACTACATCTGTGCAGGGGTCTTAGATTATCTCCACGCATGGTCCTTGGTTGGAGTATCAGTCTCAGGAAAGACCCCTGTGCTCAGATTTTTTGGTTCTATTGCTCTCCTTGTGGAGTTCCTGTCCTCTCCAGATCTTACTGTTTCCCACTTCTTTCATAAGTTTCCAAAAAAGATCCAGCTACACCACTCTTAGGCATATACCCAAAAGAGGCTCAAGTACACAATAAGGATATTTGCTCAGCCATGTTTGTAGCAGCTTTATTTGTAATAGCCAGAAGCTGGAAATAGCTCAGATGCCCCTCAACTGAAGAATGTGATACAGAAATTGTGATACATCTACACAATGGAATATTACTCAGCAATAAAAAACAAGGAAATCATGAAATTTGCGGGTAAATGGTGGGATCTGGAAAAGATCATCCTGAGTGAGCTATTCCAGAAGCAGAAAGACACACGGTATATACTCACTCATATAGATATATAAAATAGGATAAACCTACTAAAATCTGTACACCTAAAGAAACTTATCAAGAGGGAGGACTCTGGCTAAAATGCTCAATCCCTATCCAGAAAGGCAAAGAAGATGGACATCAGAAGAAGAAGAAAAGAGGGAACAAGTCAGGAGCCTGACACAGAGGACCTCTGAAAGGTTCTTCCCTGCAGACTCTCAGTGCAGATGCTGAGACTTATAGGCAACCTTTGGGCAGAGTGTAGGGAAATCTCCGCTTTCTTAAAGCTGCAAGATGACCAGTTTGGTCATCAGTAAAGGAGGAGCCCTGCTTGGAGAATGTGCACATTAAGTAGGAAGAGGTTGAGGGTTGGGGTAACAGTGCCACAGCGCTGCCTTCTTCACACATTGAGGATGGAAAGTGATGGCTTCTTGAAGACAGATGTAGAATTTAAGCATAAATGGCTGCACTTTTGGTGTTTACGCTCTTCCTGTAGAGCTCCCTGCCCCGAGGTGTTGGTGAGGTTTTTTTTCAGGATTAATCCACAGCCAGAACTGGGAAACAAAACAGACCCTAGTTTTTGGCAGTGGGTCCTTACCAGAGCAGGTGCTAAGATAGTGGGCATGGGCTGAGGGGCACTTGAAGGCCAGGTAGGAACAGGTGCTACCTGTGGTGATGCCCATGCTGGATCAGGCCCCTGACTACGTGGATGGGAGTGTGATCTTGTATTCTCAGGACCTTCACTGCCCCAGTGGTGTCTGCCGAAGCTGCAGGGCACTCCTAGGTCTGTGTCTTTACCCTGTTGAGTCGGAGGAAACCAAGCCCTTCTGAGGAGCCTGTGCAGGATGGGGCAAGATCCATGCACAGCAGTGGATGACTCCCTGCTTCACTTCATAAAACTGTTCAGATTCTAAATGACAAAAGTAGTATTTTAGTGAGCCAATCTTTCTGGTAATAAAGTGGGAACAGAAGAGGCCATAAAATCGAAAGAGCCTGGATTTGAGTTCAACAGTCTTCCTTCATCCACAAGGGATAAAGATGACTGATATCATGGGTAGTGGGAGTGTGTACATTCCCATCCATCCATCCACCCACCTAACCCCCATCTATCCATCCAAGTGATAGAACTTAATTTGTAAAGTAGGCACTGCAAGAGGTTAGCAAATATAATAATGAAGTTGAGTAGATATTACAGTATAATAAGATCATCTCCACTACATTTACTCTGTTGAGTAAAGATTAGTCACTAGCACGGTGATGCTACACAGATGTGTAAGGGGGTTGGAGTAGGGTGTAAGGCTGGGTACCCTGGACAGAAGGAAGATTCAACCCAGGTGCAATAGATCAGGCTGGTGCAGGATTATTTTTTTAATTTACTTTCATGAATATGAGCATTTTTCCTGCATGTATGTCCGTACCCCACATGTGTACAATACCCACAGAGGCCACAAGACAGAGTTAAATCTGGTACTGGAGTTACAGATGGTTGTGAGCCACGACATGTGTGCTGGGACTGAATCCATGTCCTCTGTAAGAGCAGCCAGTGCTCTAACTGCTGAGCCATCTCTCTAGCCCCTGGTGCAAGATTTTAACCACATTACTCAAAGCGGTGTACAATTTAAACCTTATAACTTGTTTATTTCTGGAAATTTCCATTGAATGTTTTTAGGCTGATATTGACTTGGGTTGGAGCTTCTGTGATTGCGGGAGGGGTGCTCTGGTCCTCCTCACTTGGTGGAGACCTGAGGAGGTTAGCTTTCTATTTCCAAACTTCAGCTTCTTCACATGTGACAGCTGAGAAAATATTTAGCATGCCTGTGAGAAACAAGGCAGGTTTTGAAGAGCAGGCTGAAGGCCAGGCGACTGTAAGCCCAGCTCTGTTGATGGAGTCCTGGGGTAAGCTACCACTTCGAGGACTCTCAGATCAGCCAAGCCACCTGAAAGACATACCTAGGAGACCCAGACAAGCTGAGCTGCCTGGCAGGCTGACGCTCAGAAGGGTTCTGGGAACTGAACCTGCGTGGTCTGCAGGAGTACAAGAGCTCTTAACGGATGAGCCATCTTCCTAGTCTTCAAACTTGAATCTAAAGAAATTAATGCCATTTATTAAAATGGATAGAAAAGTGTCTTAAAAACAATATGAATGAGAAGCAAATGTGGATCAGAATACTGAGTGGGAGGCGAATACAGGGGATGGGGGTGGGGTGGGGTGATGGTGATGGTGGTGGTGGTGATGGTGGTGGTGGTGCTGGATATATTTTCTCTATACAAGGGCTTCATCTGATAGAATACTCCCTCTGATGAAAGGTTTATCAGAATCATTTTTTTTCAGATCCATATATCCAAATACACTCTTCCTAAGCACATCCTGTTGCCGGCTCAAGAAACAGCCGAGTTGCTTTTTATCAAAGCTACAATAGCCTCTGAATTTCAGTGGCTGAACCCCAAATGGACCCATTTCCAGCAAGGTGCTCTGGACTCTCCCTCCCCCATCGCACCCAAAGACACTCTCCTTTCAATGAATATGCAGTTTTACACCCTAAGGCTTGATGGGAGCTGCTCCTCTCAAGGATATCATTAATCTTTTTTTAACAATTGTAATTACTTTTCTGAAGTTTTGATAACTCTCATTTTCGAATCCCTTTGGCTCATCTCCTCCCTCTTGATTCTCTGTATAAACATATCTAAAAGTAGCCTGCAGTTCCTGCACCCACACTAAATGCTCTGCTTTCTTGAAACCTATTCTACCACAAAGTAATCCACTGTTTTGAATTCACCCTTTCTTTTCAGACCAGACACAGTACAGCTGGATTCTGTGTCAGGATGTCACCTGAGTAGCCTGTAGGACAACTTGCAGCAGAGTCTTGTTGAATCTGAAACATCATGAGCACAGTGTTTGCTTGATACATGAATTCTGCAGTCTCCTTACCCAGACTCCCACCAGAATGTCCTGCTAGACTTTGCATTCAGAGCTCCAAGCCTGTTCTAGTCTGTATTTCCCGAGTCTTCCACAGTCTTCTCACAAGCAGTTCCCAAGGTCTACAGAACATGTAAGGTCTACAAGAGCACAGGTTGAGGCTTAGCAGAACAGCACCGCTTTTACTGATAAGAGCCTCCTGGGTCAGTTACTTTTCTTGCTGCCATTACAAACTATCTGACAGA